TTTATTATTACTTCTTTCCTGCTTTAATTATTCATTAAAGACTCTTTGGAGGAGTCAAAGGTTGGAAACCACCTAAACTATCTACAGTAACCAGATTGTAGATTTTTACTCTTAATGGAGTATTTGTACATTTGTATTGTTATTTTTACTTAAAATGCTGTGAGTGCTTATTACACCAATGCCAATGAGATTAATTCAAAAGGTCCCTGCTCATGTGGCATCAGGTTTTTATAGTGCACTGGGGGAAAAAAAGGAAAAGGGTCATCAGTAATGAAGTTATTTTGGATAAAACACTCAAAACCATCAGTACAAAGTGGTTCTTTGAGTGTTTTTTTAATGTCACTCAGGGAGCCAGTACATTTGATTAAACTCAGCCTTTTTATAACCTCGGCTAATGGCTGTTTGATTTCTGTAACTGCGTCAGGAGTTTGTGTGAAAGTAGTTCAACACCTGCACGGAAACTGACAGTTTGTGACTGTTTCTGTCTCTTAGGGTCCATCTCCTCCTGCGACGCCTTCCTCAACGTCTTTCAGACTAAAGGGCTGAGGGCCGACGTCATCTGTCCCTGCGCCAGCTCCCCCGAGGCCCTGACAGTGGCCATCAGGAGGTACACACACACACACACACACACTCTCTCAAACCTGCTTTAGCTGCACTGATTATGCAAACACGCACACATACACAGAAGCACAATATGCAAATGGACTCATACACACACACCTCACCTATGCAAACACACTCTAATCACAAATATACAAAGTCACGCAAAAGAAGAGAAGCCAGCTGTAGTTTATTTCCCTCTGCAGCACACAGCCTTTTGTAACAGGAAGGAACAGAAGCTATAATAACCAATCAGTCAATCTCAGTTCAGTACAGACTGCAGCACAGTAAAACACAGGAAACTAAGTCTGAGAAATAAACTCTTCAAGTCAGCGTGTAATAGATGATTCTACTTGTAGTTTACATTGTGGATTCAGTGTTGCAGAGTTTGAATGTTTGATACTGAAGCAGCAATAAAACTGGAGGTTCTTCAGTCCCACCGAAGATCGTACTGGATTTAAAAAACGAGAAATTGTTGCAAAGTTAGGAGAAATAAAATCCACTGTGGTTCAGACACAAGCGCATAGTTTAAAGCCTGACGAAATGGACTCGTGATCTTGTGAATCCAGCTGCCTGGCAGGGTTACTAAATATCATACAGTATGCTCACACCCTGTAATGAAGGTCAATGACAGTATGAACTGTGGGTATTTTGCGTGCAGGCCGGTGGAGGACAGCAGCCAGCCTCCGGGTCGAGGCGTCCTGTCCATGCAGGGTCTGACCTATGGGGTCGTCAGGGTCGACACAGAGGAACGTCTCTCAGTGCTCACTGTGCAAGATGTTGGCACCGTCACACCCGGAGGTACGTACGTGTGTGTGTGTGTGTGTGTGTGTGTGTGCACATATGGAGCCTCAATAATAAGTCTACATAATAAATAAAATACAGTCACAGTTAGAATAACACATATAGGATAATAGGAAACAGGTTTTCACTGCCACATGTTGCCAGTTTGTCACTTGTTAAATGTGTTATTTCATTTTGTTTTTATGTTTTATGTGATAATGATCATTTATATATGTGTTGATTCTGGCGGCCCTGTGGACTAAAGGGTTTCTACTGTCTCGTTTCATTGATTTTAAGGGAATATACTGTATTATACTTGTGGAAACCTTGCATCAAACGTCTGGTCAGATTTGTGATCGAGATTCTTTGGTTAGTTCCTAATTTATATCTAAATTTTGACTTACATGGCTCTTTGTTTTTAGACAGCATTTAACATTTGATTTCATATTAACATGTATTTTATGAAACAAGCCCTCATTAGTTTTGTAAACTGAGGTGTCGTGTTGGCAAATAAATTTTCACCTAATCCATATACCAGCTGAAGTGTTAGTTTCAGCTTATTATTTTATTTTTATTATTAATTGGGGAAAAAAGGGGCGTGTTCGCTGTATGTTCCACGCTGTAGGAATCGACCACCTTTCTCTCCGGTTCCTCCGAACAGTTAAACTGTCGGACCGTCAGTCCTCGTCATGCAACATGAATGGCAAAAAATCCATTAAGTCATTAAATCGTAAAATGAGTTTTAAGGGTGTGTAAATGTCAGCCTCTCCCTTTTCATCCAATGTCCAATTTTAGGAGCGCCCCTCTCTCTATCTTCTTCTCATCTCTCTCAATCCTCTCCTCTCTCTCATCTCTGTCATGTCTGTCTGCTTCTGTCTGTCTGTCTGTCTGTCTCCTCATGACCGAAAGAGCTAGTTGAGTAACGTTTTCAGGAGCTTTGAAAAGAAGACGGAGGCAGAAGAGTTTTCAATATGGCCGCAATCCATACTAATCACCTGAGTTTGGTCTCCGGGGACAAAGTCACACAGATAGTTTAACAAGGTAATACAGAACATAAAAAAGCTTTTAGGACATAATATATCATCTGATCAGGCTCTAAGTAAAGGAGCCACAGACACCGGGGACATTAGTACTTGGCTGACAGGTCGTGGACCGAATTAAACCGTTTATTGATCATTTAATTATTCTAATTACGATGAGTCCTGCAGATTATTGTGTCAGTTCATTGTTAGATTGATAAAACGATCCGCCCAAAAGATATTCATGAAAAAAAGATAAAATGAGAAGCTGGAATCAGCGAATTCTTGCTTGTATTCTCTAATAAATGCTTAAAAGATTCATCGATTATCAGAATTGTTGCTGACCAATGTGTTATTACAGTGTGTTTAACCCCATAATTGGTAGTAGTAGTACACAGTGAACCTAGCATACCATGGACTTAAATTGATGTATTAATACAAAAAAAAAATGTTTTAACTAAGTATTAACTAATATAAAATAACAGGACTCTTTAATACTTCACATTTTGAGCCTTAAAATACGTTACAGTATACAACATCCGCTTAGTTAGTGTCACTGTTGCACTAAAACTCTTCTTGTATTTGCTCTTTGCTCATTTTACAACCTTAATTTGCAAAAATGTGTATTTACTCAATTATTACATTCTTGTAAATGTACTTATCATTAGAGGGATTTTTAGTCAGAGAATCACAAAACCTTAAATAAAAATATAGGTAAATAAACTTCTGTTAGATGATTATGCCTCAGGAGCTCTGCACGTTTTCTTCTCCCGGTGAGCGAAACGAATGAATGTAAATAGAGTTCACACAAGAGGAAGTGAAGGTCTGTCCCTTATAATCCATAAAGAAAGCGGTAATCTGCAGAAGGGAACGTGTAAACCCTGCTGGTGAAACACACAGGCTGCCACAGCTAATCAAACATCACTGTCACACACACATTTTCTTCTACGCCACACTGTCATCTCACACCACCCAGTGTTCACCACGGGAACTACGCCCTCTGTAACATGAAGGGAACTAAATTAAAGGAGGGATTCTGTGATCTGTCAGCTCCTCAGTGCTGTAATCAACCCTATTAAACCCCTACAAATACAGAATATTATAGCCAGTCTGTTCAATGAGACAATAAAATCCTATCTAAGAATCGTCTGGCACCAGTTCCTGTTTTAGATGCCGTCTGCTTTAGATATTCTCTTCTTAGCCCAGTTCCTCAAGTAACCTGGTTTTGGGTTGACACAGACGTAAGTAGACGTCATAATTGGGTTAGAACAACCTACTTTAGGCTCGTCGGCCGGATTATTCCCATAAACAGGTGCAATATAGAGTGGAGGCTGGATCTGGGGGGACCTTGTAATCATCATTAGAAAACAGAAAAAAAGGTGTTAACCCTGTGTCTCTCTCTCTCTGTGTGTTTGTCTCTCGCCCTCTCAGGCCTGGCGTGTGTGGTGAAACCAGAAGGCGTCCCTCAGCTCTGTCAGACAGATGAGATCGGTGAGCTCTGTGTCTGCTCCATCGCCACCGGCACCTCCTACTACGGCCTCACCGGCATGACCAAGAACACTTTTGAGGTGTGTACAGTGTCTCTCTGTCTGTAAACATTAGGTAATCCATAATAATCTAATGATATCATATATAATAGTGTAGACACAGTCACTTTCTCCTGATAATACTTTGACTTAAATACCATTTTCACTGCAGGACTTGTAACAGAGTATTGAATACCACCTCTGGATACAGGACACAGGGTGAAACCTACCTGCTGTTCAACTTAATGAATCTCGGTGAAGATCCACTGATTGTCACTAAATGTCAAAACCAAAACATATTCCATTTTATATCACAGAAGACCAAAAAACACAACAAGAAAATCACATTAGAGAAGCTAAAACAAGAGAATTTGGGGCATTTATGGTTAAAGAAATGACTTAAATATTTAATTGATTATCAAAATGGTTGCAGATTGTTTCTTTCTGATGAGTTTCACCCTCATTTGTACAAAGTTATAGATTTTTTAGCTTTTTGTATTCTATTTTATTAGTTATGTGTTATGTTAGCTAATTGCTCATTTTGTTTTTACTAAAAAATACTCATCATGTCTACAATTGAAATTCTACCTTTTATGGTGTAAACCATCTCCGTTCAGGCAGAATATTGTCTCATGTTTCACAGCAGAATCATTCTAACACATTAAATGCAGTTTTGTTACTTAAAAAACATTAAAATCTGACTTTAAAATGGATGTTTCATTTCTGTTTCCGAGGTCAGAGAAACCTTTAATCTATATATTTTTAGATTGTTGTTATTAATTAATTATTGAATTATTTATCATAAATATCTTTTCCTGCTGTTAAATGCTGTATTTTATTCAACTGGAACTTGAACTTGTCGTGGTGAAATGTGGATGAAGCCTCTGCAGAACCATCTTGTCATAACATCCACTTTATTAAGACCTGCAGCAGCACGTCGATGTCAATATAAAAGTCCTGAGTTAAAATTACTGTGATATCTGATTTTGGCTCCATCGTGCAGCTCCACTGCTGGCTGGTTGCCATGGCGACTCTGCGACTGAACGCCTGTGTGTGTGTGTGTGTGTGTGTTTTTGCAGGTTTACCCGGTGAGCGGCAGCGGGGGTCTGGTCAGCGAGTACGCCTTCGTGCGGACCGGTCTGCTGGGCTTCATCGGCCCGGGCGGCCTCGTCTTCATCACCGGCAAGATGGACGGACTCATCATGGTGAGCGGGCGGAGGCACAACGCCGACGACATCGTTGCCACGGCGCTGGCGGTGGAGCCGATGAAGTTTGTCTACAGGGGCAGGTGAGTGGGAGGTGGGAGGAGTTCACACGCGGACCAGAACACCCAGGGGAACGTTTTTAGAAGTCACACTGAGAGGTTTGAACATTATTCCCATCGACAGTAGTTGAAAACCAGCCAGATGTCCGTTTACTGTCACCCTGATAAATGGGCAGCACCCCCACACGTAATAAATCTAATAAAGTAGAGCAATAGTGGATGAATCCAGAAACAGTAATAGAGTGAAGTTTAATTGTGTCCACCGCCGCCGAGGAGGAAATTCATCTTTCAGCTGACAGCGGCTGATGACGTTTACAAGAGCTATTTAAGGTTCAAGCTTCTGTAGGAAGTCAGAACCACCGAGTTTACAAAGGAAGGATCATTTTATTCAAACATATTGAGATAAAATGACTGATTTTATATTTTAAAGGTGCCATATGTAAGATTCTGAGGCCTTTTACTTATTATTTGTATGTATTAATCACTTATTGCCAGTTTGTGAGGGGTTTGTAATGTCAATGAGACCTTCCCTGCCTGCAGAGTGATTTCTATGTTCTATGTCTTTAAAAGTACATCGGAGTAAGTAGACCCTCTATACAACTGCAGTGGAGCCTTCATCTGAAAGTGAATGAGCCTCTAACAGACAAACATTCCCCATTTCTAACACAGTCACACACTCTAATTCATCAGACTTGTTTTTTAGGTTCCCGTTGCTCCTCTCTGATGTGACACCAGACACTTAAAAACCCGAGGATCTAAAGGAATCAGATATTTGTGTCCTCACAAACTGTTGCTGGCACCCTTTTTTCTTGCTGATTACTGATGTCAGCTTATTTTTTCAAACAAAGTTTCACCAGTAAAGTAAAGTAAACACTTTAAACCTTAGATGAGGGCTCACAGCTTGAGTGTGTAGCGATGTTTCCTGTGTCAGAAGGGTTAAAAATGAACCATGTAGTACCCCTACAGAGACAACCAAATCAAACAGGTTTGATAAAACCAAAATTTCTGCTAAAGTGGGTTTTTGATGACACTTTTTTTATATTTTTAATGTTACAGCTAAATACTTTTGTTATAATATTCATTATCATCAAGCCTCATCATTAGTGGATAAAATATTCCAAGTATTATTGTCAGGGTGTTATTTTAATGTTCTCTATGAGACCATAACGAGACTCGAGATTCGTCACTTAGACCCAAACTCATGAAATCATTTTACAGCTATTTTCCTGCAGGTTTGACTCTCCTGATGCTGTTAGATAAACCCTTTTACGCCACAGCGGAGGAGTGATTATTGGGCTTACTGATCATTCTAACATTGAACAGTATGCCCAATGTCAGCCCAGCCTGTGAGCTTTGTCTCGGAGCTGTACTGACTCGTGTTTTTCTCCTCCGTCCCTGCAGGATAGCCGTGTTCTCCGTGACGGTGCTGAGGGACGAGAGGATCGTGGTGGTGGCCGAGCAGAGACCCGACTCCACAGAGGAGGACAGCTTCCAGTGGATGAGCCGCGTGCTGCAGGTAGATCGCCTCTCACACGCCGTGGTCGCCGTTATTGCGTTCAGGTTGACTCAGATTCGGTTTTTGTGTCTCTGAGGGAAAGGGGCAAACCATGTACAACCGTTTCTCTGCTCAGACTAACATTGTTAATGAAATCATTTAAATCAGAAATACAGAGAATTGAAACGTGAAATCAAATCAGCAACACTGTCAGTGTGTAAGATGAATTATTGATTATAAATCCCCAAAGTGAACAGTGTGTAATTTTAAATATAAATACAAAAGGTTTTGTACAGTATGTTCTTTGTTTTAGGCATTAATGGATGAACACTTTCCGCCAACATTTATCTCTTGCATTGTTTGTAATATATTGAAAAATAGACACATATTTCTTACATTTCATGATAATTCCTCGATAATTCTCCTCTCTCTCTCTCTCTTTCTCTCTCTCAGGCCATTGACAGTATCCACGGAGTGGGTGTGTTCTGCCTGGCTCTGGTCCCGGCCAACACTCTGCCCAAGACCCCTCTGGGCGGCATCCACCTGTCAGAGATCAAGCAGCTGTACCTGGAGGGGGGGCTGCACCCCTGCAACGTCCTCATGTGCCCCCACACCTGCGTCACCAACCTGCCCAAACCCCGGCAGAAACAACCAGGTGGGAACTTTGTCGTTTCAGCACATAGAAGTGTTTGCTTGTAACCGGTTTGTGGTAAATTCTAGCTGTTGATGTGTGTGTTGCAGAGATCGGACCTGCCTCTGTGATGGTGGGGAATCTGGTGTCAGGGAAGAGGATCGCTCAGGCCAGCGGCAGAGATTTGGGACAGACTGACGACAACGACCAGGTGACACACACACAGATTTGCTTGTTTTTGATGATTCATTTATTGTATAAGCACGTTTTGATAATGGATGTTTCAGTAAAAAGAGAAAAAGATGTAAAATGTTCATGTTCTCATCTGGGTCAAAGAATAACTCTTGATGTCTGGCTTTCATGACACCTTTCAAAATCTCATCAAATGAATCCAGAAATGCAGAAGTTAACAGCTAATCTGAAGGTCAAGACGGTTTGGATCAGTCACCGATTGAAAAGTTGACATTTTAGAGAAATTATACAGCAAACAGTCTCGACTTTATCAGTAGTTCAAATTGATTTACAATCCTAAACGGACAATAAACTTTCTAAAGAGGCCAATCACTGTTTCAACTGCCTAAGGCAGAAAAGGTTTTATTTGCTGTGTCAGTAAACCGCTCATGAATTTATTCTTCAGAGACAGTTTGACGCATCGACAAGTCGTTTCTTAACTGCTTTGAAATTTCACTGTGTCTGTGATATCGATTGAACCCCTTTAATGTCCTGATAGAAGGCAGAGACTCAGCTGCTGCAGTAAAAAAAGCCATCAGCAGCAATGCTGAATATGATGGATAAAACTAAAGATTTATTTCTTCGAGCTCCTTTTTTGTCTATATAAAAGCTTTTACTACTTAAGTCTCGTGTGCAATTTTACATCATGTGCTGATGTTAGTAAAAAGTCTCAGTAAAACACATCATTTTATGGCCCCTGTAAACATGCTTGATGCATCTTTATTGTTATCCACAGTAAAAAAGTTTTCTGATTCAGTTTTATTGGCTTTATTTTCAACTTCAAGATGAAATGTGTGAAACTATGTGCAAGAATTCAAACATACGCAACAAATTCTCTATAAATTCTCTATAAATGTCACCACATGTGGTAAAGAAAACACAACTCAGGCTGATAAAATGTGTTTGTGATAACTTCAGCTCTGATTGTGCTCTTCAGTTCCTGTTCCTGTCGGAGGTTTTGCAGTGGAGAGCTCAGACCACACCAGACCACGTCCTCTACACCCTGCTCAGCTCCCGGGTAACACCTCTACACATTATCTACAGTGGACTACAATTGTATCATGCAGAAGTGATACCATGGACAAAACTGCTGAAAATAACTTATTAAAAGAAGGTTGTGTCAGTATTTGTGGGTAAAGTTTAAAGAGATGACACAAATCTCTCTCTCCTCCTCCTCCTCCT